AGGCTGTCCCCAGGGTGGCCATGGCTGTGTTGCTGGTGAGGCCTCTGGAGACGTTGGGGGTTCCCTGTGCGGACGCTCAGGACACTGTTTGTTGCTGTGGGCTCCTGGGCTTGGACACAGCCTGCAGAGATGGAGAGTGAGGGCTCTTGTTGGGCGCCTGTGGCTGCAGGTGCTGGGGGCTTTCCTTCCTTAGTGGGGCTGGGGCAGAGGCATCATCATGCAGGCCCTGGGTGGCTCCCCCTGGTCACCCTTCCCTCAAACCCCTCTGGGCTCTGCAGCTTCCTTGTGAGAACCCGTGTTCTCCTACGGAGCCACAGGCTCCAGGGCTCATGCCAGCAGACGTGGCCTGTCTTCTTGTCCTCGTGGCCTATGCTGCAGCAGCACGTCCTCTTCAGGGCAGACGCGGGGTGTGGCGTGCCCAGCGAAGGGCAGCCACCTGCCTTGGTGGAGATCAGGACTTGCTCTTTGGGGCAACTCGGGCTCATTTTAGGACAGTGTTGCCCCTGTCCCTGTTTTCTTTCAGTTTTACTCTTTTTCTGAGAAACACCACTTCCCCATGGCGACCATAGTGGCCCCTGGTGCCTGACCCTGGCCGTGCTGCACCAGATTCTGAAATTGAATGAGGGAAGCAGAGTCCAGAGCTGGAGGCTGGTCGCTGGACCAGCGGGTCTTCTGCTGTGAGCTGCCTGTTTTGTGGACTCTGGCCACCTGCCTCGCAGAGTCAGAAACACATGGCTTCCAAAGAGGAGAAGGAACCGGAAAACACATCAGGAGCAGACGCTGGCGGTCGAAGGCCTGGCCTGGTTCACTCTGACCAGCCTTCGCAGTCTTGTGCACCGCCAGAGCCGTCCTCCCTGCTGGCACGGCAGAGCCCCTGGCTCCAGAGGATCCTTCCGATGTCCGGCACCTGAGTTCCTCTCACACGGCCACTCGCTGACTTCCTGTGGTCTGTCTGCCACTGACAGAGCCCAGCTCTGGTCCCTGAGGCCAGCCAGCCCCGGCCCCTGGTGGCCCCACCCCCTTTGCCCCATCCTTGCCCCAGCCACCAGCAGCACCTCCCGGGGGGCCACTGACAGGGACCCATACCTGGGAGCAGGCACAGGCTGGATGTCCTGCCACGTCCACAAGGACCAGATGCGGAGGGTTAGACTCCACCAAACGGACTCCAGATCAAGGCAGTAAGAACTGACGTGTGCACTGCTGCATTGCATGTCTTTCCTTTACTGATTTCCCCTTTTTAACGGTTCAAGAGTTTAAAGTAGAGGCACATGGTGACCTGAGAGGCATTTCTGTTGTCCAGGAGCCACTCTGAGCCAGTCATTTCTGCTTTAACATGTCCTTGGTATGAGATTTGGACACGTGTTTTGCAGACTGAGTTATTTAGAACAGATACACCTCATTAAAAAAAATCAGAATGCATGTGGTTTAATATTATTCTCTCAGATACAATCCAGCCAAAGACAAATTTGAAAATAAATATGATACATGCGTGTGAGTATAAAATGATCTTTGGTCTTGCAAACAAAAGCAATTTTATTTCAACCTGAAAGCTGATATTTTTAGCCTTAGAAATGAGCATGGAGTTCTCCCTCTCACGCAGTATGTGCATTCAGGCTGGGCTCCGCTGTCTGCAGACGCTGGTGACTGCGGGGACTGTGCAGGCTGCTCCCTTGTCTCCTGTCTCCTTCTGTAGGGGTGTGGGTGAGTTCCTGGGGCCAGGCCTGTGTCACGTGCAGACAGGAGCCCTCCGTGGGGCTCTGCCTCTGCTCCTGAGTCACCAGCACACACAGGCCCCCTTGGGCAGGACCAGGCCACTGCCTCCAAGTGTCTTTGGGCCCGGGGCAGGGAATGGGTTTTGAGGGCGCCCAGGGCATGGAGCAGACCTCTTCTTTGCTGCTGCTGATGTTGAGCTGGGAATCACGGCCCCTGCCCAGGCTGTGGGCTGGACACAGCACGTCCGCCTGCTGAAGCCCTGGCCTCTGGTCGAGTGTGGCACAAGGAGCTCTTAGGAAGCAATCAGGTGAAATGAGGTGGCAGAGCCGAGCTTCTAGCTGTCAACGTGAAGGAGAGGAGACAGGTCCGTCTCTGCCCTCCTCCCTCCTGTGCCTGAACTGGGGAAGGACCGTGTGAGGCCGTGCAGGGAGGGCTGTGTCTGCGAGCCTGCCACACCAGCTTGGTGGGGAGCAAACTTGGAACTACCCTGCACCTGGGTCCCGCTCAAGTTGGTGAGGGCAGATTGGTCTGGGCCTGACCTCCCGCGGGAGTCTGCCGGTCAGCAGAGGTGGTCCTGTGCTGGAGGCTGGGCTCTGGCAGGTGACTGCTGGTGGTGGGATGGACCTGGGCCTCCTGTGAGCCTGGGTCCACTCAGGCCAGTGTGGGGCGGCTACTAATTCATTCTTCCTAGTTATAGGCGTATTGACATTCTGTTCATTGCACTTGGTCTTTATGTTTCTGAGAACTGTCCCAAATAGGCTGTGGTAAAACTGTTCACAGGGACTTTTATCAGCATTCATTTCTGTAATGTCGGTGGTCACCCACATTCACGCCTGTAAATAATTGTAAATAATTTGAATTTCCTTTATTTTTCTCAGCCAACTTAGCTGAAGATTTTCCAATTCTGTTGATACATTCAAAGAACTAAATTTTGGTCTCACTGGTATTTCCCCTATTGTTTTGTGTTTTCATTTTCTTCATTTACTTTAATCTTTTAAAAGTTTTCTTTCTTCTGGTCGCCCTGGGTTTGGTTTGTTCTTATTTGTTAGTTGTCGATCTGACTTTTTGTATAAGCATTCACAGCTGCAGATTTCCTCTTTTTCTGGAGTCTGTGTTATCTCATGCATTATCATTTTAATCATATTTCACTGTTTTCTAATTTCTCTTGTCATTTCTTCTTTGATCCATTGGTTACATAAGAATAATTTTCACAATTTTGTGAGTTTTCAAGTTTCACTTTTATTGTTGACTTCCTTATTTCATCCAATGAGGTCAGAAAAGTTACTTTTTAATATTTCTATCGTTTTTCAAAATATGGAAACCTTGCTCCTGGCTGAACCTGTGCTCTCTCCTGGAGAATGTCCCGGGGCCATGGGGCAGAGTGCGCTGCTACTGGTGGGGGCTCTGCGGAGGCCTGTCCGGTCCAGCTGGATACTCTGTCCAGGAAGTCCTCTTCACACTTCCAGTCGCTCTCTGGCTATCCTGTTCATTTTTGAGAGGACAGTATCGAAATCTCCAGCTATGATTTTGATACTATGTCTTCTTCTAGTTCTTCATTTCTCCTTCATGTATTTTGATAGTCTGTTAGGGGTGTGAATGCTCCTAGTCATTATATCCTCTTGCTTCCTTGAGACATTTTAGATACTCAGTGTACTTTCTGTGTCTAGTAAGCTTTTGATTTAAAGTCTACTTCTTCTGATATTGATATACCTGCCCTCTTTTGATTATCATTTGCACTGAATATTTTTATTCTTTCAGTTTCAACTTACGTGTATCTTTGGATCTAAAATGAGTTTTTGTAGACAGAATGTAGTGGGATCATGTGTGTTTCTAATTCATTTGGCCAGTCTGACTTTTCTTTGGAGAGTTTAGTAAACTTATATTTAAAGTAATTATAGATAAGGAAGGACTTATTTCTGTGACTCTTCTATTTGTTTCCTGTATGTCTTATAGTTATTTTCTTTTATTTTCTGCATTACTGTCTTATTTTTAGTCTATTTTTTAGTAAAATGTTTCAATTTATTTCTCATTTCCTTTTGTGTATATTCTATAGCTATTTTGGGGGTTCCCATGGGGATTACATTTAACCTTTTAAGGTTATAACACTCTAATTTGAGTTTATACCAGATTGACTTCGGTGATGTGCGACACTCTGCTTCTTTACATCTTGTCTCCACCCTTTTTCAGTTGTTGAAGTCACAAAATCACATCTTTATGTATTTTGTTCTCCAAAACACAAATTAATAATTCTTTTAAATACATTGGTCCTTTATATAACAGAAAAGTATGGAGTTGTAAACCAGAATTACAATGATACCAGCTTTTACACTGATGATAATTTAAAAATGTATTTCTATTTCAAATCATGCAGATCACACAGAGGAGTCACCGAGTCCTGTCACAGTGTGATGGCTTTATGACTGCCCCCTGCCTTTGTCCACGTCCCGTGTCCCCCTGGCTCGGAGCTGCTGCCTGGTGTCCTTCCACGTCCCACAGGACCCCTGAGCACTTCTTGGGGACTGGTCTAGTGCTGATGAACTCCTTCAGCTCCGGTTTATCTGGGAAGGTCTTGCCTTCCCTCTTACTTTATTTTCTATTGGTCCTTTCTGGCTACCTGTGAGTTGCCTGTGACGGCGGAATCCATTTTCATGTCATCATACTAGCAGGGAGCACACCGTGGCCCTGTTCTGTGGGTGAGCGTGGTGGTGACCCGGGACACTCCCCTCTGCTCGCCGTCTCCCTCCCTCCGCTCCCTGACTGTGGAAGCACACCTCTGCTGATGCAGGGTTCCTGGGGCACGTTTTTCCTCTTCGCCCCTCGAGCACACCAAGCCCTGCTCTCCGACGGGAGCTCTGATGTCTCCCGAGGCCCTGGAGTGTCGAGTCACTGCTCCTTTGTTGTTCCAGGAGTCTGTCAGGGCTTTTGGGAGTCTGGTCTCATGTGTCTCGGTGTGGGTGGCTTGTGTTCACCTTAGGTGGAGTCTTGGAGCTTCTGGGATGCTCACATTCATGGCTTTCATCAAATCTGGGGCGTTTTCAGCCATCGTCCAGATGTTGTGTCTGCCCCTTCTCTCTCCTCCGAGGCCCGGCAGTGTGTCTGTGCCTGCTGGAGGCTGCTCCCGGCTCTGCGTCTCTGCTCGGTGCATTGTGTCCCCCAGACCTGGCATCTCTCTGCCTCGTCTTGGTGTGCCACTGCCTTCTGCTGCTCGGCTCTGTCTCGGCTCCCTAAAGTCCATCTCACTTGGTTGCACGCGTCCCCAGCTGCAGGGTGCCTGCTTGGTGTCAAGGGCCACAACCAAGTCAAGACGGCGCCTGGCACTTTGCCAGGAGGAGTGTTTGTGAAGCCACGCCATCGAGCCATTAAGGTGATGAGGATTCCTTCATGACTGACTGCTGTATCCAGGTGATGTTAATTAAGTCAAGCTGTGTGTAATTAGTTAGGTATCTATACCTCTGCTGTCCCGTAATAAAGCGGCTCCCACTGTTTCGACCTTCACAAGTTGCTGGCCACCCCCGGTTATTTTGCCCAGCCAGACTGCGGCGGCTTGGATTCAGGTTTGTGTTCTCTGTCTGCTGTTTGAACTTCTTTAAAACATAATTTACAAACATTACCCCAGCTTCCTTTGATTCTGTGAGCCTCCCTAAGGTGGCTGTGTTCAAGTTGTGATGTTGTAGATCCACCCTCAGGGTCTTCAGGAGTGTGTCTGTCAATTTACGTTTTCCTTTTCCTTGTATGGGCTGTGTTTCCTGCTGCTTTGGATGCACTGGTTTTGCTGGGCTTCTGAAGGCATAATGTTAACTCTGGAAGTCAAGTTCTCCCGCTGCCCAGCGGGCGCAGGGTCTCCCCAGTTCCTTTGAGCCCTTGTTCAGCGTCATAGGCCCCTTCCGACTTCTCTGATTATGCAGTTGCTTTGGAACCTTATTCTTCAGCATGTGGCTTCCAAAGTGGATGACGACAAAAATGAGCTGGAGCAAAGGCACTCACTCTGACTCCCTGTTCCCAGAGTGGGGCTCACCACGACGAGGGGGCCTGACAGCGGTCACCACTCTGCCATCCAAGGCGGAGGACAGGGTGCTCTTCCTGCCAGCTCTGTGCTGTTGCCCCTGGGATGTGTAGCGTGGGGCTGGGTGAGGCAGGTAGCTGCTCCGTGCTGAGGCCAGACGCTGACAAGAACTAACTGCCTTTTGCAGCCCCAGCCTTCCCTGGGAGTTGTAAGCCCAGTAGACTGGAGAGGACGATTCCTCCAGGTTGGGACAGGCGGAACCCCGAGTCCTGGTGCCTCCTGTGGCCATCTCCCCTCTCCTGTCACTGGAGGCCACTCAGCTATGACAATGTGTACGTTAAGATCTCTTGTTACACACAGATGATGAGCCGCGACAGGGCTCTCGGCCACACTGAGGCAGCAGCGCAACCTAGCCTGGACTGGTCAGGCTGAGGGCGCACCTGTGCACCTGTGGGCTCTCTTCTGACAGGCGTATCCATTAATGAAGGACGGGGCTTTGCTTTCCTTCGCAGCTTGCCACCGCCACCGTGGACGGGAAACTGCAGCTCTTTGTGGCTCAGTGACTGTGCTGGGTGGTTGCTGGATGTGAGAGGAGAGCAAGACGTCCCTGCAGTCCCTCTGGGCCAGCGCAGGGAGGTTTCCGTGGTTAGGTTCTGCCTTCCACAGACCCCTCTTCCCTGGGGGCTGCTCTCAGTGTGGTGAGTCTCCCTGACCCTCAGCCCCTCACCAGGAAATGGGCTCACCCTGTGCTGCTGCACAGAGCTGGCGAAGGTGAAGCAGCACTCAATAAAGGATGGCTCAGCACTTGCTTCATGACTGGACTGTGGGGAGGGCAGAGCTGTCTATGTCTCTGTCTTTCTTTGTCCGGATCTGTACGTCTATGTGCATATCTGTGTCTGTGTCTGTCTGTGTCTGTATGTCTATGTGCATATCTGTGTCTGTGTCTGTCTGTGTCTGTATGTCTATGTGCA